AGTAGGAAAGTTAGAAAGAAAAGTTGGGAGTACTACAAGAAGGTAACAGAGCGGATATTTAAGAAGACAAAGAAAATTAACGAGTACAAAGGAAAGTAAATGATGTAGGGATAACGGAGGGTAGGAAAGAGAGGAAGGAGAGCTCTCTTAGCTTAGTAGGTGTGTGTCACCATCTTTTATTTAACCTCCTCTGCAGGAGTAAAAAACAGCTCCACAGAAGAGGCATTAGACAGTTGAGACAGGAATGGATGGTAGTGACTTTTGAATAAATTGTGTGAACTTATTGTCCCATTAGAGACTAAATTAACAAGCTTGCCAAGCGTCACTGCTTGGTCTTTATTGAATGAAATGTCCACGATGGGTTACTTTGTTTCTGTAACTGTGTCACAAACAAACACGAACACTTAAGTCACACCAGCAACTCTTGTTGTTCTGCGAGGTAAAATGAAGTTTTTTTGGTTATGGAGTCTGGTGGCTTCGACGAGACCGATACTTTCTATAATGTTGTCAGACACAAACAAGCACTTTAGCAGACGCACTTCGACGAGGCGCAATTGCCTGCAAGGATTACGTTGCAGCTCTGTTTCACTGCAGGTTGAAAATTAACTTAGTCTGTAACTGATGACTGAGAAAACGGAGGGATGAGAGAACAAGATGACAGTTGGGTGGATAGACGGCATCAAAGCCAGACAAAGGTGAAGGTTAAGAGGAGAGAAAGAAGATGGAGGAAGGAGGGAAACAAAGAGATGAGAGAAAAGACCTCAGGAAAAATAAACTGCTTGTACTTTTTTGTAGTGAGAGAAACAGGAAACAGGAGGAGAGGAAGTTAGGGGAAGGAGGAAGAGAAGGACTCGCTTCTCTTTTTAAATCCTCAGTTTTTCCTTAGAGTCACGCTCTAAGCCAAAAAAAAAGGATTGGCTCAGCGCTAAAAGCTACTCCTGTTTAATCAACTTTTGGCGCTCTCTCACTGAGGAAGGGCGGCGAGGTCACAAACACTGCAAAGCTAAACAGCCAATGATAGTTTTAATCCCTCCTCACTCTGTCCCTCGGCTGCTTTGTAAAGGTTACAGTAAAAGTTTGGTGTCGGAGGAAGATTAAGTTTCGGTTAAACTTGTAAGTGTCGGAGGCGGGGCTGCGTAGGTACAGGCAGGCCTCGGGGAGAGAACAGAAAGCAGGCGAGAAGGGGGTGGGTGGAAACCTGACCTGACAGTACAATTACATGGCATCATAAACCATGTTAGGAGACACATCAACCTGAAAAGGGACACTAGTGGAGGGTCAGACGGAGTGTAATTTAATAGTTTTCTCAAATCTTTCTGTTCCAAAAGGCCAGAGGCGTCGTTCTGTTGTCAGGCGGGTTCAGATGTTGGCGGGTTTGAAGGGACGATAATTCCCTGAGACGGCACCAGGCTTATTCGTGACATTTTCACGCGGTCTAATAATCTGTTAACAGGACTCATTTAGCTGCACTTTAAATGAACCGGTCATGCTAATTGAATCTTTGGATTTCTTACTTTTTATCCGTTTAAAAAAAAAAAAAAAAAAAAAAAAAAAAGGGTCCTTAAACAGTCTGACAGAATTTAACATGGGACAGTTAAAGGTCAGGAGATATTAAACGATGAGCCTCGGTTAGTTTTCCACATTTAAAAGAAGGTGGAAGTTGGACAGAATTTGTTGCATCCTTTTGAAAATGTACTTGTCAGCTATAAAATATGGTTGTTCCTAATAGCTGGAAGTATTACAGCTTCAAAGCATTTCTACAGCTTTTCAAACTTTACAAACTGCATCTTCATAAACCTGGATTACTGCATCATACATGGAGACCTCAGCTATGCCTATGACGAACTGTTCATTTCCAAATAAGTTCTAATTCTGTGTTTTAGGAGTATTTAATGATTCTGACTGTACAATAGTGTTCTAGTTTTGTACCATTGGTCATATTCTAAGACGCTGCGTCACAATTTTCAGGTCTGAGACATTTCCGTCATTCTTTACAGGTGAACCAACACCTGAAACTCTTTGAACCTGGACATCGACACACTCAACCTGCAGAAGCAGTCGAAGAACTCGGGGACTTTAATGGTTTTCCATAAATTTAGCAGTGTGTCAGTGACTGCAGTAATCCTTTTTAATGCTGACAGAGCAGACGTACTGTAGCTGCGCAAATATGAAGACTTGAGTCCAAAATGAGACGGCAGCCAGCTGAGAAAAGAAAGTGACACCTTTTCTCTGAAACGGACTGCTGGTTTAAAAAGGTCAGTCAGTCTTACGCAACAAACAAAACCGTAGTTTGAATTACATCAGCTCGCATCTCGGTGGGACGCAGAATAAGACAAGTGTGTCAAACACTGATCTTTATTCCACTGTGGTCTCACACTGCTGTGAACCTCTCGGCAGCAGAATTAACATTCGTATCAGATGTAACATAAAAACACAGCCAGCTCTGATGGAGTGCAGGTGAGATCCATTAACCTTGGTAGAACTCGTGAAGAGTCCAAACGGTACTGTATCCTACTCCCTGTGCTGCTGCTGATCACAACAGGCTGCGTGGCAAAAAGGTCATCTGCTCACATGGAGAAATAGTCCGAGTCCGCACTCAGGTGTGACTACAACCACGAGCAGTAAACGTGACTGAGGACAGAACGTAACCGTGTCGGTCAGATTGTAAAGCCAAGCTGTGATGATTTTGTGCTAAATTAATTGACCCGACTTGTCAGATGCTATATTTCAAGGTTCCCTGCAACAACATCAGTTTTACTTTATTATAGCTGTGAAAACTGTTAAACAGAATCCTGTTTGGGGTAACAATTCAATCTGAGTTTGATTTTGCATCACCAAGTAGTGAGTCACCAAGTCAAGTCAACAACTGCCTTTATTTGGTCATTTAAGTGATTGTGAATACATTAAAACCCTGACGTGTGGGATTTGAACATTTCAGACTTTTGATTAACGACAGCTGATAGATGCTGATCCTCCCCCAGTGTCTCATTTTTCTGTTTACATCAGAAGAGACTAAAGTCCATAAATGGACCTGAATGTCCTGAAGCACTTCTAAAGAGGAGATCAGATTGTATCTCTTGGCTGGTGGTGAAACAATAATACCGGTGCCTGACGCAGCTTTTAAGGAACAGTTAGCCCCAACAAGAAAAATCTCTGCGTGTTAAGGCTCAGCGTTCATCATCTCACGCAAGTTTCAGATTTCCTCCCACTCTGAAGGGTGACTCATCTTTCTATAGAATCTCTTCTCTCTCTCACACACACAGAGACACCCAATCTCTCTGGAAAGAACAATACCTTCAGAGAACTGCAACACTCAGTGGGTGTTAAATGATCCAGCGATATGGATGGAACATCTTATCTGATCAAAAGCACCGCTGGTGATGGCAGATGGTGTCAGGTCACGTAAAAGTGTCACGAAAAGGTTCAGGCAGAGTTAAATTCTACACAGAGAGGATGAGAAGACGACAAGACGTCGCCCCGAATGAAAGAACAAAATGAAAAACACGTTGATGGAATCGGGTGACCTGAGTTAAAGCACCGAGTGAGTCCATTCATTAAAAATCAGAGAGACTAAACAGTTTAATCGGTGCTATAGTTGGACCACAGCCGGATTTAAGTCCAGTGTGAAGTCCGAGTAACCCTCAAATAAATTAAGAGCAAGTCCATCCAAATCTCATGTCTTTCAAGAAATATCAAGTCAGCACCGACCACGAACCACAGGGTCCCGGTTAAAGTCCGGGTGGGAACGTTGGAGACAGAATGATGTGCTGAGTAAACATCGGGTCCCGTTTAATATTAGATCAAGTGAGTCTTAAATCATCGTCATCCTTGTTCAACCAATGCGCTTTGTTTTGATAAGTGCTGTGTAAATAAAGTTTATTTCAGGTCCTGATGCCGACAACAAAATGTTTCTTTCAGCAGCTGCATTAATTCTGGTTTCTGAGGATCTTTTTTTTCTTTTCTCAAGTATCCAGAGAGTCCAGAAACCAACTCAACACTCAAGTTCTCGCTCGCGTCCAAGTCTACGGCTCTGATATGATGCAACACGCTAACCTGGTTCCACACATCTGAACCGCTTCTCACGTCTTAAATACACACAACGCAAATCCGTCTGATCTTGTGCTTATTGATGGATGCATGATCAGAAAAACAGCTGAGCCAATCAGTGCTTCTTTGTAGGCGGGAGTAAGGGGGGGGATGTCAATTGCTATGATCCAGATCAGATACTTTATTACTTTTAGTGCTTAATGCAGCTGCCCTCACAAAGTATGTACTGTACTGCAGTATGCAGTCATCCTCATGCTGGCTTGCAGACTGCAAAATGCGACCGGATACAGACATGCTGGTATTTTAGGCACACTGCATTTGACCAGTGATTCGTTTTGTTTCTCTGCTGCCGAAATGTTTCTCTGTGTTGGTGAATCATTAAATAAACAAAACCGCGCTCTTAATTTCAGGTTAAAATGCGTTATTGAGATTGTAATGGGTAAAATCTTACCCATTTGTTTTTGTAACGTGTTATATTAGCAGCAAAAAGCAATCCATTACTGTAACTGCTTTTCTTTTGTAACGAGTTACTCCCATCACTGCATCTGACATACTATGTATAGGGCCATACTAAATCTTTTTCTGGTAGACTAAATAGTGTGGTGGTATGGTTATGGGCACTGAGCACTTGCAGAAACAACTCGCTTTTTTTTTAAAATCTTGATTGTTGCGAGGCAGCTGAAGCAATTTGTGAATACAACCCTGACATCATGACTTTTTAAGTTGACGTTGAACTTGAAAGTTGCATATTTACACATCCAGCAGTCACAGAGCAACATGATGGTTCATGTGGAGTCGAGTTGTCACCAGAGGATCGTGAGTCCAGTCTTTGCTCTCTTTTAGCTCTGATTTTGGGCTCCACCAACGACGCCATGAGAGCGGTCAGTACTCAAAGGCCAGGGGAAAATAACAGACTTCATGTTCAAACATTAAAAGAAGGAAACAAACAAAAATGTTGTCATTTAGTGAAATCTTTAGTGTAGCAGCAAATGCACACAACAATATGCAGATGTAACATTTCACTTGTAGCAGCAGCACAGAGGCAACCGGCCCCCTTCTTAAATACTGTTGTGTGGACACAGTGAAAAGGCCACATTCTGTTTCACCTCCCAAAGTCATTTTTTCCCAACACAAAAATCATAAAAGCTTGAATACAAAATAAATCTATGCTCCGAATGGGCTCCCTCATCCATCTGGCACCTTTAAACACCTGCGCGGCCTGTGGCAGGACATCGTGAGGCATATTTAACCATCAAATGACACAATCTCATAAATTAACACACACAAAAAAAAAACACTCATTAAGGAAAGCCCAGAGCCAATTAATAGCAACATAAAACTAATCAAACCATTCGACATTGATCTGGAATTAAAATCTCACTATTTCTGGATTTAATAGCATCTCAGCAAACACTGGCACACATTGTTCGAAGGCCACCTCGTAATACTTTGGCTTAAGAAGAGCAGACAGCGCGTGTCAGATCACTAATCACCTAAGGCATTAATAAATACTGATCAGAGCCGTGAGGCTGTTTGCAGATCAACCTCATCTGAAGCAGAAGTGACAGGAAAATACTTTCTGCACTTTGCTGATTGATCTCACGCTACCTGATTGTTAGATGCTTGTTTTTCAGTACACAGTATAATAGATCTGAGGCAGAATTAATTATCAGGAAGTACGCGTGGAAGTCACATGCTGTGAAGTTTTAGTGTGTCAGGAATGCAAAGTGCAAGTTAAAGGATAATACGTTTGGTTCTGCTTTGCTTTTTGCTGCGTTACGCTGCAATAAAACCTCGGTGGAAACGTTTCACCCAGCGCAGACACAGCTGTTCTCCCTTCTGCATTCGTCTCCTGACGAGTGCTTCACAGTGAACAGCGATTTGGTATTTTTGCAGGACATAAAGACAGCTAGCTTAAAACCGTTTCAGCAGCGTTTAAATGTGAAAACTTGTGAAATCAGTCATTTAAATGCTGCTCAATCAACAGTTATTTGGTTTTATTAAACTTATTTGTCTAAAGTTTATCCCAGTTTTAACCTAAATGTCTTCTAACATGCGAATCAACAAACCAGTGCGTACTGGAATATTTCCCACCTTTGATTGTGCAGTATTGTCACTGCAGGCTGCCTGTGACCTCCTCTGATAAATATAATCTATCCCTCATTTTCACTTCACCACCCCCGTCAGCGTCCTCCCAGTTGACCCTCTGACTTCTTGTTTTTTGCACACGTGTCCCGTTTATTCCTGCTCCAGCTCACGTCTGCAGCTGCAGCCATTGTGTGTCCCTGGTAGTAAACGTTTGATACACTGAAGGAGTCCACGTGGTCCGTACTAGTTGGACATAATAACCCGGGGCAGGACCACTGCTAGAATCCATCGTCGTAATCTCCATCACAGCCGTAATCTGAGGGGTGAGAGACGCAGAGGGAGGGATAAGAGACTGGCGCCGCTCCATCACGGCAGAATTTATTTAACATGTTTATTAAATTAAAAAACTGAATGCTTTATTTGTTTAAATTATCATCTATGCATCCCCATAAAATCCCAAATAGCCCCTGAAATAAGGCATTTTAATCCAACATAATTAACTTCAAGCAGCAACTCAGAGGCAAGAGGATGATTGAGCGCAGTGTTTGCCAGCTTGGGGGGGGGGGTGGAAAAAGCCCAGTGTCAAAGTCCTCTGGAAGCGTCTCAGAAGCGTTTCAGCAGCCTGCCCCTCGTTACTGATAGTTATTGATTTGTCATTTTCGTGTGTTTTGCCTGATTTTACTGACATGTTTAGATTTTGTTGATTTGGTAATCAATCAAGTTTGCTTTTTTTCCTTCTACTGTGATTAAGGCTTCATAGTTAAAGGTTTTCTTTTTGTGTCCGTTTTAACCGTCTTTCTTGTGGTTAAGACGCAGGGAATCTCTCTGGCATTCTGTGTCTGACTTCCTGCCTGGTTCGATCTGTTCTGCTCGACGCCGCTTGCATCAAAAACAGACCTGCTACCGCTGCTTCTAGAACGCTTCTGGACGCGCTGCAGCCGCGTCTGGTGGACTGCGATTCGTGATGGAGCCGTAACGCGCCGAAGCCGGAGTAAGAGGACGTACGGTGTGAGGGTGTGGGCTCAGCAGGTAACTCCTTACGTTACACAACGCTGAAATTCAACCGTGGCGTTCTGTCGGGACATGCAGTGAGGTAAACCAACGGTGACCCACTGGTTTAATTTGTGAATGTTTTTCCTACGAGTGAGGCAAGATATCACACTGTCCGTTATAAAAAAGGTAAAAGTGCGCTTTTGGTCCCATTATTGAAAAAATACTGATAGAACACTCAAACACTGAGAGGCTTTTGGTTTTTTTGGACGCCTCCTGAGTGCGTCTGAGTTGAAACACGGTGTCGCAAGAGAGAAGTGACCACGTTCAATTTCCACAGAGACGCTCTGTGTTGTGGGACTTCATGAAGAGCAACAGAACAGACTAGTAAAAAGTGTCACCGTCCATCAAACGACTGACTCCGGTTTAACCTCCAGTGTCCTGCTGAGCTGCCCTCCAGAGGTGCTGCTCTGGGGCCGACCCTGACCTTTGACCTCACTGTTCAGGGGGCAAAGAGTAGAAACAAAGCCTTTCCCTGTAGGAATCAATTAAGCAGTTCAGGATTTTTTATTGCGGCAGAGTCAGGGACCTTAAAGTTTAACAGCCAGAGGCGTAAAGTGGAGAAACGTAATCTTACCGAGGGCTCATTAAAACAGGCCAGGAGCCCGAGCCGAAGCCGAGCCGTGACCCAGAGCGGCAGATTCATTAAAAAAACGGGATCCTTACTATTTCACAGCCCAGACGCTCGGAGCCCGAATGAGAAGTGACAAAGCAGCGCGCTGCCTTTAGTGTCGGCTAAACTCAAATGTTCAAATCATCGAGTCACTGAGCCTGAAAAGCTCCGTTTCTCTTTGAATTAAAAATTATTTCAGCCCCTACAAAACAAATTAAACCGTTTCTCCCCTTCTGACAGAGAAATTACACAACACCGCTGTCCAAGCTCTGCCAGTGTTACCTTCTGCCTCTGATTGTTCATTTACATGTAAAAGTCCCACAATAAAGCAGTGGTGGAGGAAGTATTCAGATCCTTAACTTAAGTAAAAGTACTAATACCTCACTGTTACAAGTAAAAGTCCTGCATTGAAAATGTTGCTCAAGTAAAACTATACAGCACAGTGTTTGGCAGGGACATTTATTACTGTCGCACATCGCGCTCACGCCGTGTGAACACGACGTGATTATGATGGAGCTGTTTGCAAAATGGAGGAAGAGTAAGAAAATAGCGAGGGACGAAGAAGAAAGAGTCCAAAGTCTGGGATTATTTCAAGCTAAAGAAAGAAACAACTCTGTAATGTCACAGTCCGTCATCCGTAAAACACACGTGTGTTTGTTGTTCTCGTGGTTGTAACGTCACAGTCAGGAGTTAACTGGGTGTCTGCGAGCTGCACCTCAGTATAACTTGTACAGCAGTGATGTTTGTGTTGGTAAAGCAGCGGTCTGGTTGTTGGTCTGATGTTTGCTCTATGACACACTATGAAATTTCTGAAAGGACCAATAAATATCCATCATCTATCAACGTACACAGCTGATCCCGTTACCGCCAAGCAAAAGTACTTCTTAAAACGATGCATCTATGAATTGATAAAATAATCTGTAGAATCTTCCAGTACCAAAATCCTCACTGCCGCCCTAACAAACAGGAAAATGTACTAGAAGTATTAAAGGTATTTTATAAAAAAAAAAAAAAAATACTCTTTTATTATACTTCCTTTAAAAAAATAAATAAATTAGAATAATAAAGTACAGTACAAGCACCTCAGATTTATACCTACAGCACTTGAGTAAATGTACATGGTTACTGTCCACCACTGCACTCCCGCTTTAAGTTTTTCCTTTTTTTTAAGTCATTTTTCCTGACTGCTGTGCCGCCGACTTTTTGATTCCGTCTTTTTTCCAGAAACAAACTCAACAATTGATTATAAAAATCTTGCTGCTCCTTCCATGTCCAAGTCTACATTTTGCATGATATACATTTATACTTTTTCAATTTCAAATAGTTTTGAAATTTACATTTATCGTTAGTTTGTTTTGTCTCGTATTGTAGCAAGAAATCCACTTTTGAGAGGCATTAGAAAAACTTTATTCAGTTGGGGGGGGGGTTGTTAGTTCTCTGCATTTTACCCATCAGGAGCAGTGGACAGCCACTGTGCGACGCCAGAGGAGCAGAAAGGGGTCCCTTGGCCTTGGTCAGGGTGACCTTTGGCAGGGGTCCACGCTCCGGTTCCCAAGCCAAGTCTCCATGGACTGAGCTGATGCCGCCCAGTCAATCAAATCAATCAACAGATTCTAATGAAAATAATCACCATTATGATTATTTTGGGGGGGGGAATTGCTTTTTATATAGATAAGACGACTTAGTGGAGCTCTGAGATGACAGGCTGTGTGATGTTAGTGTATATTACACAATATTCTGCAGCTTCAGCGGCTCCGTTTGTGTCTGTGGTAAATCTGTCATGTTGTGTCACTGGGTTGGTTTCTGCGCTACTGTTTGGGGATTATTGGAATAATGTTTTGCATAATTGTTTGTGTACATAATACATTTTAACAACAACAACATACGAGTGATTGACAGAAGTCTGTTTCACACTGTGTGTGTTTAAACTGACCGTTGCCACCCAACATCTCCATGGCGCTGACACAAGTCTCCTCTTCCTCCTCATCTTCCTCCTCAGCAGCAGCAGCAGTGTCGTCGTAGTGGACCGGCCCGCTCTCCACCACCACTACGCTGGCGGGGTCTCCCACAGGCACCGGCAGGGGGTTGGAATTGGCAATCTGAGCAAACAGGAAATATTGTTGGTTGGAGCAGACGTGCGTTGCTCCGTATTTTTAATATTTTCCTCTGCGTGACACACCAGGTACACCCCCCCCCCCGGGGAAATCTAAGCTAGATCTGATCTCATATGCCCCACTTCCTTTAAAATGATAAAATAATAAACAGTAGCATGGTAGCTGTAGGGCACACAGGGTAGTGAGGACACATTTCATCTGCAGCAACATCACATATGACTAAAGCCAGCATCAGAGCGTGACCACAATCTTTATTATCTTATATTACATTGTTATCCAATTTAGGATTCCACTTTTAAAGCTCTGCATGGACCCTGTGTTCTGTAAAAGGGACAGAAAGTAACCAGAGCCTCTGGGCTGAAATGCCCTTCAGAGTTCATAAAAAGCATGTTAAAAAAAAAAAAAGAAGGGGAGGGCGTGGGGGCCAAAATGTAATTAGAGAGCCTTTTTTTAAATTTTACATTTCAGTCAAATGTTCACGCATGAATGTGATGACTTTCCCTCCTGTGGGCAACCAACCGCAGGTGATTAATGTGAGCCTGTAACCAGAAGTCTTCCCAGATGCATGCTGGGAGACAAAAATGGAGCCGTTTTATGATCAGAAACCAAGTCGCCTGAAACAGGAGGAGATGTTGGCAGCAGCAAGAGAAGATAAACAACTGGGATAATAAAGTTTTCCAGTGGTGGAAAAGACGATAAAACAAATGTCAAAGGTAAAAATGCAGAGTTCACCTGGAAGTGTGAATTTTCCACTTCATTGTTTAGAACATTTTCCCACAAAAAGGACACAATTCCACCAAACGGACACAAAAAACTAATGTCACATATTCATGCATCTTTTAAAGGGGACAGTTTTTTGATCAACTAGCATGAGTTCTGTTGCTATTAAAAACCTGCAGTTTAACAGAGTTGGTTTGGTGGATGACTAAACACTACGATACCCATGAGCCTCAGTCACTGTTGCAAAAGAGACGAGGCAGAAATCAGCTTAATCACTGCGGGAACAAAAAGATTTTAGCTTTAGTGGTGCATACAACTGAATTCAACACTGGTTCCTGAGCTATCCTTATTTCAATACAACTTAAAACAAAATGACATTACGCTACAATTACTCACGAGGAGGAAGCTGTTTAAAGACCCGGGAGCAGCTGGAGAAATTGATTTTACTCTGCGCACTTAACTCAACCTGGATAACTGAATATCTGTACACTACTGGGCGATGTAGAAAATTTAAATAATAAACAGTATGGCAGCAATACGGCGCTGTAGCGTCTCGTCTCCCTAATCCAAAGAAGAAGGGAAATGTTAGTTTGTGGTACTGGGAAAAAGTGGCAGAGTGAGACCTCTTACTTTCTCCGTGCTACAGAGCATCTCGCCCAGGTCTGACCCCCATCCACTGGGTCAGCATCAGGAGCATTTGTCTGTGCTCACCTGTCGGTCTGTAGACAACACCGTGTTGGAAACGCTCTCCGCCTCACCTCCGGGTTACCCGTCCCCGCGGAGGCGAGAACAGGATGCACCGGAGCTTTTATGTTGGTGGACCACGTGGTGAACATGCTCACTGACGAGCAGACACAGGTTAGCTGGTTAGCCAACAAGCAGCACAAAGTTTAGGCAGATTATCTAAAACACTTTAACCGGACATCAAACTGAAAATGTTGGTAATAATCACACACTTCACACAACTACAGCAAGTACACAAGGTCAAAGCAGGAAGTGGGATTGTAAACCAGAGATATTTTATAGAGGAGACACGCCACCCAGTCACATCCTCAATACAACGCTGTGGGGAAGGCCCGTAACGGCAAAGACGGCGATTATCCCGCCCTTCCCGCTAGATTGCCGATCGCCTGCATTTAAACAGCCAAAGCAGGAAACATATTTCAGCCAATCGTGTGGTTCCACTGAAGTAACGATCTGTTATACTTCTACTGCGCATGCGTGGTAGTGGTGACGCGTGCACAGTAGAAGTATAACTAGTCGGGAAAAACGCTTTTTAAACCTTATTTTGGGGCAAAGTTATCAAACTTTTTCAGCCATTTTCATTAGATTTTGCTGCCGATTCTATTCATGTAGGTTTTATGTCCTGGTGACCTGTGAAAGTGCAGTTCTGGCTCTATCCACGTTCATTCAGAGAGGGGCCTGGTCATGTTAGTCCGAAACAGCTGACCGGAGGCGTTGCCAAGATGGCTGCCGAGTGGAAGGACTTGCCTATAAGAGACTTTGCTGTAAACTGAGGGATGTCTGAGTAACGATTCTCCACTCGCCTTTGTTTCCGCTTCAAAAACAAGTTCGGCTAACCCCGGAGGTTCCTATTCAACCTGTCTGACTGCTCGTGTTTTCTTGCCACATTGGCCCCTCCATTAGCGATGTCACCGTGTTGTGAATTCTCAGCAATCAACTAATAATTTTTTTTAACGTGACCACGGTATGAGACACCGTACCACGTCTCAGTATGGCTCCAATGCTGTACCACCACCTCAGTTTTAAACCTGTGCTGCTGTAGCACAAACAAAACCGTCCGGTGATCTGATTCTGAAGAGCCACTTCTCTCCTTCAGTCTGAGCTTTATTCATTTTGCTTAGTGATTAACTGTACAGATATCAAAGGCAAACAAACGATCCCCACCAGGGAGGACAGGTGTGCACGGTGTGGAAGATTTCCCTCCTCTTCTACCTGCTTTAGACAAACTAACAAGATATCTAAAACGAGACATCCCACCTTGCTTTCTGTCTAAAAGCTGTTGAGCTTCAGACTCAAACAAGTCTCCATTTCTGCAGAGGAAACACATCTCTGTTTTTTTCCACTGCGACTAAAAGGAAACCTGCATGTTATCACTTTCCTTTCAGCCAGGGCTAATTATAAAGCTGGAGGAGAGGCAGGTGGAGGGTCCACAGTGTGACGGAGAGATATTTCAGTTCTCAGCAACAGCCTGTTGGAGTCCCTGCTGGGGCCTTCCTCCTGCTGCCATCTCTTCCTCCAATTTGCCTTTCATTTCCTCCTCCCTTTCCTCCCACCTTTCTATTATTTGATGTTTCCCTTATTTTGCCTCTTTTATTCTACCCACATCCTTCTCTCCTTCCCTGGTTCCTTTATTTGATTCTCCTTTTGGCTCCTTCATTCCTTCCCACTTTTAATCCTGTTTTTCTGTCGTCAGATTCTGTTAAAAATACCCAATGATTGTACAACACAACTATCAAAAGCATAGAACACCCAGCACAAAAACGCAGTGATGCCGGTCCCCCTTTCCTCTCAGCTGGACGCCTCATTAGCTGCCGTGAACACAGGAGTCAATGCGAAAACATGAGAAAAATAATTAAAGAGAAAACCTAACAGCATAAACACGGTGCTCCAGACTAATTAGGAGGTGAGAGCTGTTAAATGGGTCAGGATGAAGGGTCTGTGAGAGGAGATAAAGCTGTGGACAAGGACAAGCAAGATGCTTTGGTGCTGGTGTGAGCTATGAAACAATACTGTTCGTCTTTACACAGAGATACTGTTGCACTACAAATATCCCGTTGCGTGTTAGAAGCAGATACAAGTGTGAACACTCTGCAGTTTAATGAGAGAAATGCTCGTTAGGAGTGAGAACGCAACTCCAACCAACTACAGGAAACAAGCGCTCTGAGGTTTTATGGGCGTCTGGATGTTGACATCTGATAGCCTCCAGTAACTCATGCATGGAACAACTGGCAGAACAAAATTACCTGAGAGCAAACCAGAGTCTGGATTAATGCTCCTATCCGTTATGCAAGATGTGGCGCCCCTACGATTCTAATTCACCGCTGTCGTAAATAAGGACAGCTGTGCCTGTGTATTTGTTACGATTATATTATGATCAAAACTATGCTAACATCTAAACCTCCAGCCAGTGCGACGACTCAAGACGGCTGTATTACTGACTGGTCCATCAGAAAGAAGGCCAGCTCGCCGTCTGTCCTGCAGCCTCTTTCTCGGACTCTCTTATATCCTTAGCTTCTTCCGTTATCCTCCGTTACGTTACATACATAGAGGCTACTAAGCCCGGTTATGTTGCCTGCTTGCATGGCTCCGGCTCGACACCAGCAGCAACATAGTGTTGCTTGAAACTTAGGTGGCGAGCTAGCCAACAAAGCTGGACAGCAACTGACAAAGGAGCACTTACAGTAACGTTACTGATGTCTAAGTGTGTTATTTAGTAAGTTTACCGACATCAGCTCCACATTTATAGCTAGTGGCCAAACCTCAGTCTGTGTGTAACCTCTGGCTGATTTTGCTGGAATCAACAACTTTGCTAACAGCCAAATATCAAGCGAGAGCAACACCACAAGATCCTTTAAGCTGTTTGAGCTCACACCAAAAGCCAGTCCGATCTCTTTTTCTCTTCCTCGGACATCTACTTTGGTCTCTTCGCAGCCTCTGCCATGATATCCATACTGAGAATACCGGGCGAGCTTTTTACAAAGAACTTACATTGTACATTATGTACTTGTTACTGCTTATTTTAGCTTGCACGGTGAAGATCAGTGTTGGTGCCATTACAGCATTACGCCATTTCCTGCCAGGGATTCACGAGTGGCAAGGGCAGGGACATCATTCACCCTATTTACAAGCTGTTATTTTAAGATAAAATTGTTTTAAACGGCAAGACAACCATCCATCCATGGTCGACCGCTTATCTTGCGCACAGGGTCACAGGGGGCTGGAGCCAATCCCAGCTGACATCGGGCGAAAGGCGAGAATTTTATGCTATTTCTGATTATATTTGAAGTCTTATTCATGTGTCTTTTCAAAATCGCCTTTTAGTTCTTAATGCCTTTCTGTCTGATGTAAAGACTTTACACTGTCTTGTTCAAAGGTGCTATACCAATACATTTGTCTTGCCTTTATTCTCTAAGAAATGCCAGTATGGCAACACCTGGAAGTCTGATAACTTCAGCAGCTCTTATTCCGCTTGTCTATTCTCACGCTGATGTGAACAAGCGGACTAACTTTGTGCACTGAATACTGAGAGCTTGTTAGGACCTGCTTTATCTGGGTGAACGGGGAGGTCACTGCGTTTTCACAGGATGAGCTGAAAACGCTGCACGTCATGTGGTTTACCGCTGGCCTGGCCTCTTCTTTGACAACCCAACTTCCAACAGACCCAGCCAGCAATGGCCAAGACCACTGCTTGCATAAGCAGACTATAGCTGCAAAGCCAGAGCGACTGTCTGCAGTTCAAAGCCCCTCTCCCGCGACCTCATCAGCCTTTTCAGATTTCTAAGCCTCTCTGAGAATCCCATTTCTCCAACTGCGCTGCTGTCTGCTCCGTCCAGCAGCCGGAGTCTCAGCCTGAATGTGGTTCAAGGGAGTAGAAGAAGAGGTGAGAGGGCAGCAGAGAACAGCCGGGCCACTTTCATCTGGCAGAAATCAGCCTGTTACTCCTTCTCTGTCTTGTAAAGTGATCATTTCCTCCCTTGGCTTGTTTGAAAAAATGTACAGACTAATTGCTGGTTCACTGACGAGGGTGAAGGAATTCAGTTTTTGTTGAGCGACGAACAGAAAGAGCTTGGCAAGCGACGCCCAAAGCACAAACATCTCTTTTCAATCTGGTCCTGTCGCTGAAATGAAATGGCACCATTACATAACAGGAGCCGCCAGCGAGGAGCGGGCTCAGCCAATGGCGACGGCTGTTTGCCTCCAGTTCCCAGGGGAGGTGAGGGGGTTGCTAAGTAACAAGCCTTGTTGACCCGGCCCCTCGTGGCAATGTTTTCTTCCTGGTTGACAGAGCCTGAGCTCCCCGAGCTCCTCCATTCAGAGCTGCCAACAGCACATGATGGAGCAGGAGACAAAGACAGAGAGGAGGAGGAGGAGGAGGAGGGGAGAGATGGAGGGATGGGAAAGGAATGTGGAGAAGGAGAGGAAATATAAAAGGAGAATGACGGCAAAGAGAGGACAGCAGCAGAGATGAGGAGGAGAGAAAGCAGGGAGAGATTTGTGGAGTGGGAGGTTTGGATTGTAAAGGACAACGGCTGCAGGAAAGAGATGGAGGAGAAATGTGGGAGGAGGAGAGAAACAGGAAGACGAGAGTAAAATCCCATTTAAACTTTTAGTGATATCCTTCCTCAACTTCAAAACACACGAGTCTCCTCGATAATTTAATGACACTACAGAGCAACCTGTGTTAGAAAGTGAAGTAATGCATGCAAATGAATTCATGATTAACCCCCCCCCCCCCCATTATCTACAATATCCTAAATAAACTGTTATATGTTGACATTGTAAAACTATAAAAATTAAAGTTGTAATTTTTCTGCGTTGTTCCCAGATGCTCCAACAATAAAACTTCCACAAACCTCTGATCCATGACATTTATTTCATACATTCTGAGCAGCAGGCCGACAGAGGACAGACTAGCCCCCCCCGTGAGAGCAACAGCGTCCTGCTGGGTGGTACTCGCTGAAAGTATTGTTCTCCACTGGTTTGTGTGGCAGATGGCTCCAAAAACTACAACACCCATGAGTCTCAGCTGCTGTTACGATGGGAAAGAGGCCAGTCAAACACGAAAACAGTTCTGAGGACAAAATACATTTCAGTTGCTGAATGACAATTTAAACTGCACAGTCACATAACATATTTTACATAATGTGTAATGTTTTGGATGTTTTTACTGAAATGCACCTTGGGAGTCGTAGTTGACTTCTGTCCAAAGTTAAGGCTTGTAACTTTGGCTTTTTATCCAAGGACCTGGTGTTTCCTAACACTGTTGTTCATCTCATGTACTGATGAGTGTTTTCTGTCCATTCGAGCCTTAAAGTGCTCCGAACATCAGTCACGTCGACTCAGTCTATACTGAAAACGAACAGGACTTTATCTTCCCAAACTTCAGACTACCAGAAGGTCTCCTGCCACTTTGCTTCGTTTATGGAGTGACGAAGAGGAACGTGGATGAAGTGATGAAAGGAGAGAAGTAAATCTTAAGAAACGAGAGGCAGCAGCGGTGGTGTGAAGCAGGAAGGGAATGTGTAAAGTGAGATATGGAGGAATAAAGAGCAGTACAGAGCGTATATGAAGTCCAGAAATCAAAAATGTAAGACTTTGATGATGATGTAAAGCTACCTGTGATTGAATTTGGGTCCAATTTAAAATCAAATTAAGAAACAAAGTTGGGGAAACCAGCATATTTCCTCCTGAAGATGGCTGGTAATGGTGTGAAGCTATAAATGGACAGAATGACGACATCTGGAAATTAACTGTTCAAAGACATGAAGTCTAACTGGGTTCAGTAAAGCAGACAGAACACATGCCGTACCACCAACCTGGCTCTTTGTGGATTCATCTAAAAGCCGGCGACGGGCCAACAGAAGCCAATCACTGCAGGGCGGTAAAAAGACTTCTAAAAGTGCTGTTTAAGACATTTTTATGTTCGAGTTTGAGGTCGTATTTATTTTAAGACCCCGTCAGAGTCCTTAAGGAGAAATGAACGCCCCGGAGGGGGAAGCAGGGTGGAGGAGGAGTAATAAGGGAAGGGCAAACATAGACGAAGCGAGCTTTACCTCTCGCTCGTCCTGAGCAGAGATTTATTTATGGCCATCCACTCTGCAGGAGATCTGAGCAATCAGCTTTTAATGGCCGACCAGAATCAGCGTGTCTCCAGGTGCTGTCTGTTCCAGTCACAGCTTCGTTACGTGGCCGCAGAAACCCTCTGGGTTTGTGTTTTTAAATAGTTAAATGATAAGCGTGCTGATATTGTTTATTTTCCTGTAAAAAAGATCAAAATATCTTCTTCCTCTGAGCCATAGAGCTCCATCGTTATCCAGAAACTACTAAAACCCACCAGTGAGCCTCTCTGCTGCACTGGGTGACATGTTCCTTCTTCACCATGAACACACACACACACACACACACACACACACACACACACTGTAGTTTATTCTGACTCAGTCCCACACACCGTCCTGCTGCCCCGAATACTCACTAGAGCAACACGTGGACTCATCCGTTGCTGAAAATAGTCCCCAAAAAATGCACTATTTATTTCTGTTTTTAAGATCTAAGGGACCCGATGGAGAGGAAGTTGAAGGGTACTGAGAGGCGAACACGTCCGGCCTTTTTAAAGGGATCTGTAAATAAACCCCAGCCTTTATTCTTTAAGACTTTAAGGGAAATACAGTGGGGAGAACAAGTATTTGATACACTGCTGATTTTGCAGGTTTTAAGTTCTGCTTTTCTGATGTATCAAATACTTCTGTCATGCAATAAAATGAAATTATTTAAAAATCATACAATGATTTTCTGGATTTTTTTTTAGATTCCGTCTCTCACAGTTGAAGAGTACCTATGATAAAAATTACAGACCTCTACATGCTTTGGAAGTAGGACAACCTGTAAAATCAGCAGTATATCAAATACTTGTTCTCCCCACTGTAAATCCTCATGTGTTAGTTTTAGTCTATTTTATAGGCTGTGATGAAGTCTCAGATAACGGCCAGAGCATCTCACATGCCGATGCCTCCGAGCACCATCGTGAACGGTTTGGTGAGTCTGAAAATGAGGAGAATAAAATGCCGCAGCCTTTAGAGTCACAGTGCAGGAGGATGAACCCAGTTTCACACCTGTGAGACAACATTCTCCACAACCATCTCCAACAGACCACCACACACTCTGCTCTCTGGATCTCAGCGAGACGACCTGATTAAATGAAGGTGGTGTATCTAATGAGGGGATATCTGGTGGAGGAGTGGTGTTCATCCCTCCAACAGACTCAGAGAGGAGCCTTGAAGCTGATCCATACTGAGACGCTTCATGTTGGGGTTTTTTTAATGGAGCCACACACACAGGATTTTCAGTTTATGGATAAAATAACCAGAGAGGAAAGTTGTTTCTGGCTGATGTTGTGAAATAAATAATTCAAGTCAATGTAATTGCTCACATTGATGTAAAAATCCTGTAAATCCAATATTGCCATAAACATTGCTCACAATGGTCTCTCACACACACACACACACACACGTATGGGGGGGGGGGGACCACATTTTAAAATGGCAAAATCTAATTTCTGTGATCTCATAGTCTATGTCGTCATAATGCCCCAAGACTGTACCGTCAGTGTGTTTGATTTTCTGACCTGCTCACTGGCTCATCTGTTGCTGCTTGTTGTCAGGATCATTTGTTTGCACAGTAAAAGCTGCTGAAAAGACTTCCAAATGGTACAAATCATCATTTGTTGACTTCTCTTTAGCTGCCTTGAAAATATTGTTTGTGGTAAATAACACAACAATAAGGCTACTGTAGTGTTTGTGTAAAGGGGTGAGGCAGATTACACTGTGAGAGAATAAGTGTTTTAGAGAGCGGGGGGGGGGGCTTATCTGTCAGAGGGTCTTTCTGGGTGACTTGGTAATTGTGCATGTTTGTGTGTGCACGTCTGTTAAGTGCAGGATGAACAGAGGTCTCAGTGAGTGAGCGGGAACACGAAGCAGAGAATGACAGAGAGCAGATGTGGTGAAGACGAACGGCAGCTCACCTGCTCTGCTGCGAGCTTCTTGTGGGGCTGTCCGCTGATGAACGGCTGCAACCTGCAACACAAATCACAGCTCACCATCAACACAGGCCTAAACTTTACATTTATTATTCCATATCTCCTCCACGTCTTCACTCTCTTCATTTTACACACATTAACAGCTTCTACATGTTGCATTTTAAATTCAGAAAATTAGCCAAGAAGGTTGATGAATTTCAGATCTTTGTTCTTTATAAATATATTTAAACTATGAACTGTTATTTTAAAAGATGTTCTAGTGGTAGAACAGTTTGCTTTCGACGGATGACGGTAACCGTCTGATGGTCGAGTGCCTAAAAAAAGCTTCATGTTACAAAGATAATGTTTTTTTGGTAACGTATTTTTACATATTTTGGTGTCAAAATGACTCGTAGGTCCAAAAGTTTTGTATCTGTGCAGTAGATGTTTCGGCCAGCAGCTGAACCGGCTGCAACGCATTTCTTCAATACAATAGCACCTGTCAAAATGGCGTCTACAAAAAGAGCCCTTGCTCAGACTGTTACACCAGGTGTCTGTCATCATCATGGAAAGGATCCCTACGAGGGAGGAAACTGAAGTCTCACTCAAGTCTCGTGCTGAAATCTCGTGAGAGGTGAGTTGTTGCTTTGGCGGCATCAACTCAGCGTGTTATTATCAGTTTAATACCAAGTATTTACCAGGGCCAGAATCACCTTATTGGAGCAAAGAGGAAGACGAGAAGAAGAAATTGGAGGGGGGGTGCATGATGCTAAAAAGGGGGCTGTCATGTAGGGGAGAGCCACATGTCAAGATATCAACAAGCTACATCTGAACACATTTTCATAACACTTTTCCAGTAAGCATTTCTCGCTGCGGTCCTTAATTACTGAATCACACGCTTGTTAAAAACACAGGACAGTTTTAGTTGAATCATTTTGAATCTCAGTGACTGTTTCATGCACACAGCAGACAAACATGTTCATGTGGCCAGAACACAATGTGAGATGGATCCTCCTGACACTAGTGCTGATTCTCCAAACAACACTTAGTAGGAATATTATCATTACTTAAAGTTGTTAATCAACCGCCACCATGAGCAGAGGGAGGTCTGGATAGTCTAAGCACTGCTGGACAGAGAAGAACAACACTAACTAAACTTAACCACTAAAATATCCAAAGAGGGAGAAGTCCTGGGAACCAAAAGAAGCGTTTCTCTCCAAACACAGGGATAACATTAGAACACATGAAATCCCCTAACTCTCCCTGTTTTAAATAATGCCTCGGTTTCATGACCCTGTAGAAAGTGAGTCGACAACAGAATTAAATGTGCAGATTTTATGAACCTCTCAAAGCCCGAGAGTAATGATTTTCATTTCCAGACATCAGACGACAATAAAGTCTTTCACTCTGCGGACTGCTCGGATTACATTTCACTGTTCCCCTCAGCCGTGAGGACACAGTGTCTGTTTCTGCTCAGCTTCATTCACACCCGCTTCTTGTCCTTTATTTCCACTTCTCTGTTTTGGAGTTTGTTGCCTGAAGCCAGCGACACAGTACAAGACGTACGGGACCTGAAGAGGCTGGCAGTGAACTACAGAGCCTCATGATGTTAATGACATCCTTTGGCTCTATTGTGTCAACCAGGAAAGGAAATTAACACCTGCCACCCCATTTTCTGTTTGGCGCCCAAATGTTTGAGGGCTTCCCGCCATATTGGCAGGTAAATGTATTCGGCATATAATTTCTATTTGACGGCAATTAGCAGCAGACCGGCGTTCTTGTCGGTTGTGTGTTGCACTAACCAAGGGATCTAAAATCATGTAACACACAGATTAGAGGCGTTCGTTGGTTGTTGTTTATGTTCTTTTTATGCTACTTGTGTTTGATTGGCGTAGATTTGGAGGGCGTTGGGGGACAGGAGTCGGGAGGGGAGAGTGACAGTGTAGCTTCTAACGGAAATCCGCGCAGAAAGAATATCCGAATTTATGTCGCATTCGCTTATTCACACTGAACTAAAGTTTGCAGCTCCATCACGTGTGAAAAGGCCTTTATCCCGCAACCATGTGTGCTCTCACAGAGCGGCCCGGCTTTACAGGAAGCAGTGGCGTGCGTGCCGCGGCATGGCGGCTGTGGCTTTTCACAAACTGTTCATTCTGTCTTTCTGTCTCGTGTCTGTCAACAAACTTTCCCGCTCAGAGACGGATAAAACCTGCTCCGTACCTTTCATAAAGTGCAGCGAGCCGGCAGATTGGCGCAATATACCCGTGAAATAAGGCAGCGTGAAAGCTGCTAGTGTTTGGAGCTGATTACAAAATTAGTTGTACTAGGAGTGTTTTAGCTTTTAGCTGCCGGTCCTCCCCAGAGATCAAGAAATCCATGGGCTGTGTAAAAAATGTTGATCCCACAAAAGCTGTGATGCTGTGGACCAGGACTCCGTCAGAACCAGGACTCCGTCAGAACCAGGACTCCGTCAGAACCAGGAGGCCAGAAGAGGCTGATCGTATAAAGTGAGCAGCCTGACATGGAGGTTTAAGTTGAATGATTAAGAGTGAGCAGTGATAAGATTTACGTTGCATAATTAATAAGCAACTTTGTAAGTTTAGAAAACAATTTATTGTTATGTTTAAGTACATTTAATAGCAATAATATCATTTTGCTTCAAATTTCACTCTGGCCTAGTAGCAATATCCATCCCTATTTACAACACTATGAATGTCTGAAAACGCATGCCGTCATCCCCATATTCAAACCATACTGCGTAACATTCGCTCATTAGCAATAAACGCAGAGATCCAGCTGAGGCTGACGGGAATTTTGTTTTGGATCACCAGAGTTACTCAGATTCACCCGCTGGGCACCGAGGAGATCTGTGCAAAAATGCCAATCTATCCAACAGACGCTGTCATATTTCAGACCAGACCAAAGTGGTGGACCAGCCAACTTTGCCAACCTTAGAGCCAGGATGCTAGCATGACTTCAAAAAAAATAAATAAATAAAAAGCAGAGCCTCCTTTGTGCTCCTTTCTGTCAACAAAGAGTAAAAACTGCCCCCAATCATGTTCATACAGGAGGGGAAGTTGCAACCACAAAAATAAACTTGGTGATCACAACAAGCTTCGAGGGATAAAATCATGATCAATGATCATAATAATTAATATTAATAGTCACATCTGCACAGCTGGGTATTATGAACATTCTGTGAGGGCTCCTTGCAGCCTGTACTACAAAATATATTCATTCCATCCTTTATTACAGGGTTTACTGTTGACACAACATAGGGTGAGGATTTGATTTCGATTACTACGTCTGGGGCTTCGAGTCTCGCTTGGCTTCAGGCAGCCAGCTCAGATTAACAGCCAACTAACGAGAACGAGAGAAGAAACGGTGTGAATGTGAATCCAGCCCGAACTGTGAGTGACAGCCAGACCGTCTGTCTGCGAGCACAATCTCTTCCTCGACAGTCAGAGATAATCAGAGATGAACGTACCGCCGGCAGAACTTCCTCAGCAGCCGTCCCACCAGCCCACTGGCTGGAATTAGCATAGCTCCCGGAGGCTCCCCGCCCCTTTCCCTTCCCTGCCCACCCGGCCCGGCGCTGAGCCCTCCCTGGAGGCTTACAGTAAGTGCTCAACTCTTGCTGATAAAAAAAGAGAGTGAGCTTTTAATTAATCTGCTTTAACCAGGGTAAAGAAGGGAAAGGAAGGGGGGAGGGGGGTAACACCAAATCTTCACCCCCAACGTTACCCCCTCCTTTTTCAAAGCTCATTAGAAAATCTCAGCATGTGCTACACTACACTCGCTCCCCTGGGCCCTGACCCGGACACCGGGGAGGGAGGATGGGAGGAAAGGATGGAGGGTACAGAGAGGGAGGATGAGAGAAAGGGATATGCAGAGGGTGAAGAAGAGAAGGATGGCCAAGAGACGGAGGGAACAAACGAGGCAGACGAATTATGAGACGGACTCGTGGCACCGAGAGGGGAATATGGCACAAGAAAAGAGGGGCGGAGAAGGAGGCGAGGAGGGAGGTTACAAAGAGACAAGGCAAGTGACAGAAGGGAAGGAACAATTGTAGGAAGGAAGCAGGGCACAAGGAGGGAAGGAGAAAAAAAGTGGAAGTAGGAAATGAGCAAAGTGTGGAAGGAAGCAAATCTGAGAATCTGATTAAAGTCCCATCAAAAGATCTTTGACGTGCATGTGAGTCCAATCACATGTGGATCAATAATCAATACAAAACTGTTTCACCTTCACTTCCTGTCAGATGAACACCTCCAAACAGGAAGTAAATCATTAAAAGACATTTATCAAGTACATTTACAGACTACGCATTTTTCCTCAGTTGTGCATCGTTGTAAATGAATATTTTTGCATTTCAGACTCGGTTGGACAAAACAAGAAAGCATGTGGACATTTTTCACTATTTGGACAAGGCGCCCGGTCGCGCTTGCGGAAGCAGCTCCTTCAAAACGTCCCTACACTTTTGTTTTTTATCTGTTTTTTTCCCCAACTTTATTTTCAAAACATGTGTTACCTCTGACGTAAAAAGTCAAAGTCATTGGAAGATGAAGACGGGGTTTTTTGGATTAAAGAGCGGAGATCCACCCGGCTCAAACAACCGGACCAGGCGCCACGGCGAGAGGAAAGAGCCAAGCTGGCCCAGCTAGGACTTAATTCTGCTCCTAAAGATCCAGTCTGGACCAAATGGGACTCATGTTGACCAGACAACGGAGTTCAGAGACTGTGTCCACATCGTTAGAGACCTGACCCACCAACATCCCGGATCAAGCACTCGGCAGGTGGTCCGTGTTCCGAGCTGTGAGCGCAAGACTCCGGCAAGATGAGGAGGTGGACTCTGTGTTTTTGGTGCTCCAACGCAGTCAAGATGGACTCTGTTTCCCAAATGTCAGACTGTTTGTTGTGAAGATGAAACTTTCATATCGTCATCTCGCTGCTGCTGTTTACATTCAGCCCGGATGCAAATTCAAAAAATGCACTGTGGAATTTTCGGGGTGGATACGTGTCTGTATATAAATAACTGTACATACACTTTTATTAACTACG